CAGAAGAGCTGGACAGCTACTATATATGAATATAGGCATGTAAACCATACATATGGAAGAATACACATGGACTATATAGATATATAGTAAGTGGGTGTAAGCGCGTTCCTCTTGTTCCAGGGCTTGGCGGGGTTCTGCTGGAGCCATGCTGTGGGTCTGTCCGGTACTGGGGCAGCAAGTGGCTTCTCTCTGTTCAGACTGGTGTACATGTTTGCGGGTCGTACTCAGGGGAGACAGAGGGGGTGGTCATGTGACCTCGGGAGCGGCCAGTCCGTGTCGGGAGTCTTTAGCCCAGGTACCACTGCAATGAGACAGAGAGGAACAGATCGGTGAGGTTTGGTTTGCAACTTCATGTTTTCAGTGAACAATCAGTATCATCAGCAGTGTGTGAACTATATAATAACTTTCAAGTGTTAAGCTGGTTCATTTAGTTAATTTTGGGCATCAATCTGACTTTTGAAAATCATTATAATTTTTAATTTTATTACACTACTGTTCAAAAGTTTGGTGTCAGATTTTTTTTTTTTTTTAACACTTTAACTGATAACTCTGCTGTACGGTTGAGCTTAATTTGATAGGGAATAAATCTATCAAAAGGAAGAGATGAGAGCAATCTTTCCACAGCTGTACTGCCCCATCTCTGTGTCTGCTGTCGCCATGGGGGGTTTGGGAATTTCCAGTTTTCAAGAGACAGCAGCAGTTTACAAACTTCAGTCAGTCACACAGAAGGGAGAATGGTGCTGGTCAGTCATCAGATAATAGGGTCAAACAAGCAATTAAGGAAGCAGGGATGAAACCATAATGTTGTTGTGAATAGGGTAGAGGGTAAAGAACAGAAATATAGCAAAATATATGAGAAATGCAAAAATGTTTATTTACCATAATTATCCAAAATCATGCGTGACCGTACGGTTGATATGTCTGTAAAGGACATCATATAACATATATATTGCTATGTCTATATATATTATAGAGACACTTAAATAAAATTTTTTATCTTTGTGGACCCTAAAGGTTATGAAATGTTTCCAAGATACTAATAAAGTTAAAGGAATGTTTATTATTGGAAAATAACTAATAGAAATAGTTCTCTGAATTTAAATCAAGATTTACCATGGACTGACAACACAACCGTACGGTAGTTTTATATAAAACATATATATATTGCTATGTCTATATATATTATAGAGACACTTAAATAAATTTTTTTATCTTTGTGGACCCTAAAGGTTATGAAATGTTTCCAAGATACTAATAAAATTAAAGGAATGTTTATTATTGGAAAATAACTAATAGAAATAGTTCTCTGAATTTAAATCAAGATTTACCATGGACTGACAACTCAACCGTACGGTAGTTTTATATAAAACATAAATTTAAAAAAAAAAGTGCTTGGGGCTATTTATTAGATGTCTACTAATAAGAATTTTAAGTTAAATGATTATTTTCATTAGCTCCTTTTAGGGGTGAAAGTTAAAGCGTTAAAGAAATTACATTTTTTTCAGCAAGGATGCATTAAAAGTGACAGTAAAAAGATTTATATTTCAAATAAATGCTTCTTTTTTACCTTTCTGTTTTTTTTTTAAAGAATCCTATAAATGTATCAGTTTCCATAAAAATATGAAGCAGCACAACTGTTTTCATCATTGATAATAAAAAGAAATGTTTCTTGAGATCTGCAGATCTGCATATTAAAATGATTTCTGAAGGATCATGTGACACTGATGATGCTGAAAATGTATCACAGGAATAAATTACATTTTAAAATATCGTAGAAAACAGTTACTTTAAATTGTCATAATATTTCCTAATACTGCTGTTTTTACTGTATTTTTAATCAAATGCAGACTTGCTCAGCATAAGAGACTTCTTTCAAAAACATTAAAATCGTAATGACCCCGACCCCAAGTCTGCTTTATCATTCTAATTAAAATACAAAAAAAATTATTGTATTATATTTTTACTTATATTTCTAAAAATGTTTTTAAATCCCATTTAAAATAAATGTATAATATATTAATTACATTTTAATATATTAAATATAAATGTATTTTATTATTTATTTCATAATTTAATCATTGTATAGTTTTCTCATTTTTATTTATTAAAGTTCATTTGTGATATAATTGCAATATGTAAAGCTATAACAAAACTTACTTTTTACCTTAATTAATACAGGTTCCTGATGTTATTGTGCAAGACTCATCAGTGCATGTTAATTAAAAAATAACTGTTTTATCATCAAAATGTATTTCCAACTACCTGTCATAAAAAGACCACTTTCATGATTCAATCACTTCTCAAAGGATAAAATCAGGTCTTGTCCTGCATTTCTTTTCTAGCTGAATATACACATTCAAAACTATTCCACACTGCAAAAAAAAAAAGTGACTGCAGTTTCATGTCAACTTAGACCCCCAATCCTTTTGTTTTTACCTTCCTTGGAAGGTTTAAGACTTGTTATAACTCCCAGACCTATAATTCATTCAGTATCTGTATTATAATGGCAAAAAGAAAAGCATAAACTGCTTGTTGTTTTCTTATCGGATCACTTATGTATCAGCGTGGTGAGGTCTTAAGACGGTGCTTGACTCTGTGAGGGCTCAGCTCAACAACATTGTCTTTTTTCCTGTTCCTGTCCATCTGTTCCCTGTCTCTGAATGCCTGTACAGCGCTTTCCGCCACACAGAGCACACGGGTGTCTGTGGACTGGAGTGGTGAGGTTAGCGCGCTGCACCCCTGTAATCCTTCAGTGAAATGGGCTTATTGATTGCTGTGCTCCATTGTTCACGTTTCCAGCAAGTGAGCAAGTGTCGTTCGGTTCTCGCCCACTTTTTTCACTCCGTTCTCCCCTCCTCTTTCCAACTTCCCTCCTCCCACCAAGTTCAAGTTCATCCTGGTGTTACATCATGTCTGGTTGCCAGGGACAACCAGACAGTCGTATACGTGACTATCATTAGCAAGGCCCTTATCCCTCTTTCTTTCTCTCCCTCTCTTATCACCTGCTCCCTTTCTTGCTATTCTCTTTCTGGCTGGCGTTCTGTCCGAGCGATGCGATGCGATCCGCCCCGTCCCGTCCCATCCAGCCCCTGCTGCAAATACACACGCTATTGATTCAAAGTGTGCAGTGATTCGCTCGCTCCTCCCACATCTCAGCTCATCATGCATGCATGCTGTCCACCAATCAGCAGCCGTGATTAATTAAGCCCACTGAGTTTTCAGCCAATCAGAATAAAGCGCTGAAGGACTGCCTTCTAATTACAAAACAAGGCTGCACACCAGAGTCACAATTTATTATTTTCTGTCATTATTGCAAACTTTTATTCAATTAAGATCGGTCTCCTCCCAGACCATACATTAATGCACTATATAGACGGACAGTATATAAAGTGCATATTTTCTTATATAAAAAGGTATATGTAAATATAATTTAATAATTTTATTTAATGCATTTTGAATGTTTTAATGTGTTTTACATGCACACTTATATTTGTTATATAATAACTTATAATATATACATATGACACATTGCACTAAAAGTATATGTGAATATTATTTATTTTCAATAATTATACGCATTTTTTATATTTGAATGTATTATATAAACACTTCATAAAAAGTGAATTTTAAATTTTTGTTATATCACACATACAATATGTAACATACAAAGTGCCTTACACTAAAGATATATGTGAATACTATTAAATTATTTTAAATAATTATATGCATTTTGAATATTTTGTTAGAAAAAGCAGCTATTATATAATATCCATTTCTGATGTCGCCAATAATTAGAGATGCACTGAAATTCCGGCTGCCGAAAATGAGTTCACCGCTCAGGATTCACTTTCACGTGGTGTGACGCTCTGCGTATTATCCCGCTCTATGCGTGTGTGTGCTCCGCTCAGTCGCTCACGGCCCATGTGAGTGCTCCACTCATATACCGTTCATGCTCATCGGAACAGCAAAGTCCACTCAGAAATCAAGCAAAATACTGTGACAAAATTAATTTTGTACGGTGCCACAAATTTGTTACAATTTCCAAAGGGTGCCACGACTAAAGAAAGGTTGGGAAACACTGTTCTAGGCTACACAGAAAGCTTCAACAGGCTAAATCGGTAAATGATCTAATGTAGTTAAGAAGAATGAAATGTGAGTGGCTTCTATCAGGTTGGAAATGTCCCAGACATCGGAGAGTAAGGCTCTAGCTCACGGCTCGTTTAAATTCTATTGCTCACCGCAAGTGCAGCGGAGAAACTGGAAGGTTAGTTTTTAATCAATAGAAGTTGCTGACTCTGGACTTCTGCGCTCCGGTGCAGTGCAGCTTCCTTGTGTCTTTGTCTATATCGGCTCGACCGCTCTGAAACTTTTCCTCCCCATCCCCCCCTCCCTCTCCTGTCCTAAGAAGACTTTTGGAGACGGCGTTGTGCACAGAGAGCAGGAGCGTGTTGGGTTCTCTCCGATACACCCTGTAACTTTGTGGACAGTGGGCTTATGTTACAGCACAGAGGCTGTGCTGACAGCTGTGATTTAGTCTGCAGATACACAGCATGCAGGAGCACAGAGGGGAACCAGACAGACAGACAATAAAACGTGTGAAATTACAACCTGTCATTCTTGCGCTTGCAACACGGGCGGCCTTTCAGAACCAGAACAAACGCAGCTAAATAAAGAGAAAACAATCTTGTATAAATCAATTAGAAACTATATTTTGACACATTCTGTGGAATATCAGAGAGGTGCTTGCGAGAGATCAACTAATAATCATTTTCATAGATCGACTGATATGATACAGATTATTTTACTGTTTAAGTAACCAGTAACCAATATGCAAAAACAAATTAATTAATGCTTAATTTCTGACACAATACACAATGCTAAACAAGTAAATAATCATTAGACTACTACAATAAAAATACAAATTCTAAATATTATCAATAATAATGATGATTCTTGCCTTAGCAAGCAGCACTAATGAATCTTTTCATTGGCTCTCAGCTGCAAAAAGTCCTTAGCGGTGAAGAGGAACGCTGTGCCAGAGGAATTAAAGTGGTTTCACACACATCCGGATCAGTTTTATAGACTCTCAACTAATGAATGATGTTAAGATTTAATTAGGGGTGACAGAACCTAGATCGGTGTAAAAACGTACCCGTAATAAAACATCAAGTGTAAAAGGATCACTTCCTAACAAGAACAGTTGCACTGTGGGATAGTTCATCTTGGAAGACTTGGTTACACTTTATTTTAAGGTGTCCTTGTTACAGTGTAATTATACATATAAGTACTGAGTAATATTAA